TATATAAGAAGAAAAATGCCAAAGTTCAGACAGGGAAGTTTACAGAGCCAATATGCCTTTGGGAGAATGTAAGAGCAAAACAAGATCAAAAGGTAACATATCGCAAAATATAGAACATAAATGATGAAGCGAACTAAATAAAACATATATACCAATTGTAGTTCATTTTGTGACGGCGCGGTCGGGCAGTCTAGTGGTAAAAGCGGTCGCCCGTCACGCCAAAGAGTCGGGTTCGATTCCCGACATGGATACAATGTGTTAACCGATTTCTGATGTTCGACGCTGTGGTATTGCTGGAATATTGCTAAAAGCGGCGTAAAACCAAACTAACTAACTCACTCACTCACTCACTCATAACATGTTCATGCACATTCTATTACAGATTGTTCCTGGATGGGTGAAGTGGTGAGGGCTTGCTGTTCAAAGAAGGTCATGTAGATTAACCTACTCATGTTGATTTCTCTCTTGTATGCAATTTTTGTTACTGTTAATGATTATTATTCAGCCTTGCTTGACAACGGCACAAGGACTTATAGATGAACGTCCCCTTAACAGTAAATAAACACGTTGTTATCCATAAATTGTCTCTACTTTATCAAATAGTTGATATATGGCTGAGTGTGGCGTAAGACAAACAACCAACAAGAACGTCAAGGCGCCACACATTTACGTGGCAAACACAGACAGGAAGTAAGATTTTTTTGTTGCTGAACGCAGCACAATATGTCAACTATGTGACGGCGATCTGAAAATGACAAAGAGTACCACACATTCCATTGATTGACATCATGAGCATCTATCCAAGGAAATGTGAAAATATGACATGCTTTCCATCTGAGCCTGACCAACCGATCCATTTGATCACCCTCACAACACGCACATGTCATAAGACCTATGTTCTTACCAGGAATCCCCACGCAGCAGACAAGCACGATTTGCTGGGGACCATTAATCTTACCGGGAATGGTAAGATAAGATACTAAGTCATCCACTAAAGCTATTTTGATGTCCTTGATCATTAATTTTGCAGGGTTGTAGATTCGCGAGGATTGATAGGGTGTGCCAGGAGACGTTACGTTGTTACATGATAAACTATTGACGAAACATGGCTGCCTAGAAACACAGGGGAGGTGTATAGTTCCTATGACGCCTTTATAAGCACAAAGTGAGTGAATATGGTTTTACGCCGCTTTAAGAAATATTCCAGCAATATCACGGCGGGGGACACCAGAAATGGGCTTCACACATTGTACCCATGTCGGGAATCGAACCCGGTTCTTCGGCGTGGCGAGCGAACGCTTTAACCACTAGGCTACCCGATCGCCCCTACAAATACAAAGGGTGGCTTATAAAAATTACCTCTTCTTTGTGCAGAGAAGGATCTTCTTGTTTTATTCTATTTTATTTTATACTTTTATTACCCCTTTTTTATATACATTTCTATTATTTTCTATCTTTATTTTTCGGGGGTGGAGGCGGCGTTAACAAACTATTCTCCGCCTTGACATTCTTAACAGTGTGAAAATAACCACTGCTCAACTGAGTGAGTGAGTATGGATTTGCGCCGATTTTAATAATATTCCAGCAATATCACGGCGGGTGGGGGTGGGGGTACCAGAAATGGGCTTCACACATTGTACCCATGTCAGGAATCGAACCCGGGTCTTCGGCGTGACGAGCGAACACTTTAACCACTACTCTACACCACTACCCCACTGCTTAACTGAAGGGACATGGAGTCATGTGATTTCTTATCACAGGAATCGGTTGCACTACATTTGAGAAAAGTTAACTGTATTTCTTAAATAGTCACTGTAGCGGAGATGACATGTTTTAAGGATCAATTGTGAAAAGACGACGCTCTTTCTTTGCACGGCAACAACGAAACGACAGAAATCGTGCAAGAAGTGGCCTAGAGGAGTCACACTGCTATTGCTGACCACACTAAACACATCCACAAAGTTTCTGAACTGTGGAAAGACACTTTATTGCGGGCCATGCCTCGTGAAAATGAACGTTTGCGTGCAATCTGAATGCTTGAAACAGGAATTGCACAAAACGTTGTTCACGCTGAGGTCGGTACCAACAGACAAGCAACTCCAAGGGCCGATCATGTTCTGAAGTCCACGAGTAACGTCATGACGGTTGGATAATCATATACGTATGCTTCACCTGCAAAATCAGTTTTGAATAGCCGACAACATCCCTGGCTGACTTGCAATTAGTGCATGGACTGTGGGAAACTAATTATGAGAGCAAAACATCGGACCACAGCGTCCTGTTGTATGTCATCCAATTTTTCTATGCTTGTCGTAAGGAGCGACTAAAGGGATCGGGTGGTCAGACTCGCTGACTTGGTTGATGCATGTTATAATATCCAAATTGCGTGGATCGATGCTCACTTCATCAATCACTGGATTTTCTGATCCAGACTCGATTATTTACAGACCGCCGTCATAAAGCTGGAATATTGCATAGTGCGGCGTTAAAGAAAAACAAAACAAAAACAATTTCATTCAACTGCAGGCCCGGCATGGTCAAGGCCACATCTGAGGTTGAGGACTGGAAGTTAGTCCTCTTCACAGATGAGTTGATACAGGTCAGCGTGGTCATCAATTTCGGAGGGAGCGTTACGTTGACCCTTGCGTTGTTCAATGTTCTTCATTCGATCGCTGCACATCACAGGGCCCATGTAGGGGGCATCGATGGACATTTGACAGGTGTACGGTATCGTGACGAAGTTATCCGTCCTCACGTCTTCCGTGCCTTCAGATCCGTTGACGTTACATCATTTTATAGTAGGACAACGTACACACGTCTGGTCACATACTTCATTGGACAACTGAACATTCCACTCTCCCTTGGCCTTGCTGGATCTGTTGGGTTGAACTGACACTGTCGACACTCATATTCAACATAAAGAGTGACGTTGGTCCAGCCGTGTCATGTCTGGATCCAGATCTAGTATGACATGCCACAAGCCTACATCAACCATCTTCTGTCGTTCTGACCCCACGCCACTTCCAGGGTGAGATGACATGTGCAGAGGACATGTTTTGATACTGTCATGATGAATTCATGTTTTATGGACATTAATATGCGCATATTCTTCTGTTGCAAAATCGTTATATTTATGATAGTCGGTGATGCACATGAATGCGTTTCCGAAATATATGTATATGTCACTCAGCATTTCACGGTGATATTCTGAGTGTCCAGGTTGGGAACGGATCCTACTGGTTGTTGGGAGATGTTGTCGTACGAGAAGAATGTGATTTGGACTGGACAGGAAGATGTTACGCTTCCTAATGTTATCCCCAGGCAAAGAGATGGATGTTTCCCTCATCTGGACATTCAAAATCGAACCCAGATCTTCGGCGTGACGAGCGTACGCTTTAACCACTAGGCTACCCCACCGCCCCTCTGGTAGTTAGGTAGGTACTAAAAGGCATTACACATGGAGCACGGTGCTTGGCGCTGTCTTCTGTTATCCACTCACTGCAGGGTGTGTAAATGTTTAAATTGTATGCAACTGCCTTTGAGTACAATGTCGGGCATTACGTGTTTGTATTGTGCATGTCGTTCACAAGGTTGTCCACATGTTTTCACTATTGTGTGACTGGTATGTTTTGTGTTACGATCAAACAAGAATTAATCGTGGATCCGCGTTTTGTGAATGTATATCATCACTTTGGGTCTGGATATTACGATGCGATGTTAAATATTAACTCACTCAGTGTCTAAAGGTACGTGCACTTGGTAACATGCAAACAGTTTAACATGAATAAAAAAGTAAAGACATTTAATCAATTTATTCATTTCAACGAGACGTTATGAAACAAAAGCTACGAAACTCTTTCCTTAATATGTAAGAATGGGCTTGCAATAGAATTATCCGCCTTTGTTGTGTACATGAGTATGACACAGTTTCTAAAAGGCTTTCTGTACTTACATATAGCAACATGATAGCTATGTTTTCAAGGATTCTTTTGACCTGACATTTTACTTTACTACTTGCCAAGTGTGGATGGGGTGCAGGAAACTCTGAATTCCTGCCATCTTCCAACACTATTTAACAACGGAGACAGGTCTGTTTCTAAACATTCGACACTGACAAACTGCCATGAGTGCCCTCACATTATTTATAGGGTATGTAGGCTGCTGCAACTTGTTTGACGTTCTGATTGAACTATCAGAAAAGACATATACATACATATTCTCAAAATAGATTTATTTTTCAACACATTGATTTACACCTTGGATAAATGTAAATGACGCGAAGTGAACGTTTTGTCAGAAGTTGATCTCCGTCGCTGCAGCCTCAATGTAGCGATCAGAAAAGGCCAGCATAAGGAAAAGGCAATATGTATAAAGAATATGTATCCATGATTTGAATAGCTTCGTAAGACGAGTGATGTTTATCTTACGATTACAGCAGTATGAGCGATCATTTGGAATCTTTTTCCAAGAAATCTTGTTTCTACACATTTTAAAATTTCCACCTAATATTCCTGCCATATATTCCTGGGGAGTCTTTCTGACATATTGGCTAACGTTACTCAATAAAAGCCACAAAGCTCTTTACATACTCATAATACATCTGTGATAAAAGCAAAGTATATCTTCCGATTATGACCATATCATAAGCATGTGTTCACCATCAAATAGTGATGACGCCAGGTGTTCGCGAAAAGGTGATGGTATCCTATCCAATCTGGTGGCACCCATCACGAACACATGCAGAGGCAAGTCAATTGTTCACTGAATTAAGACACCTAACATATGATTTAATGTACATGAAACTTGTTGTAAAACCTCAGGTCAAATTTATCCACAAATATTATAAGAAAAAGGAAATCCCGGTTCCCCAGAATATCCAATATCACATCATAAGTGTCCATCTTTACTCAATCCAAAAAGGGATGAATATCTAATTACGGGGTGAATGGAATGTATCTTTGTTTACTAATGTCGTTGATGTTACACCGATCTTCTTGCTCCATGTTTCCACACGTGAAACCAGTGCAGTTGGATCGCAAACACATCCAAGCACATTCAATACAGGCCACCCGACTTGGCAAGCCTTCCGCCATGTCTTCATCGTATCTCTTGTAGTAAGACCACAGCATTGTACCTACCAATGAAAGATCCACAACAATATAATTGCCTTTATTAGTTACATTCAGAACTGAACATTTAAGTTCGTATTTGAGATACAGAACTCAGATATCATTGTCTGGGTCCTTTGCGTAATCGCACAGAGGACTTAGAAGTCTGGGCGCTGATTGTAAACTCACCTGACGCGACCTCCAATGGCTAGATTGTCATATCTGCACACAGACACAGGTATCGTATCGGAGTAAAATAGCAAACTAGAATCGTTATGTATGAGGTGAGTGAGTTAAAATTGTTACATGGCATCGGCAATATTGCAGCCCTATTACGATGAATACAAGCTAATTATTATTCAATACCTGTCGACAAAAGACAATAAAAAACAGAAAGTCATGTATCACAGCTTGGGATGCCCAGACTCAATTCTCTGTGTAGAGTTACGTCCCTTGGGCACGCCAGAATACTAGGATCATGGGTTCGAGTCCAAGTTCGCCCTGATGATATTTCTAAGTTTGTCACCACCACCCGCTCGCGGGTTTCACCAAAGTGTTAAACGCCTAAGACCTGTATCACTTCGGGCTATCCACCCACATCAAGCAGACATGCTGTTCACAGCGGCGTAAAACCAACCCCACTCACTCACTCACTCACTCACTCACTCACTCACTCACTCACTCACAAACAACTCACCAGTTGTCTTGATGATTGGAGCTGTAGTTGTCGTGACAGTCGTTGGAGGTGTAGTTGTAATTACTGTCGTGGTTTCATCTAGGAAACATATGTTAATAGTAGTGGAAGTTAATCTTTGATAGTGACATGTAACGTGGTATATGAAAAGTAAAACGTTTAACGTACGTTAAGGATAAATGTAGGTTGTGGCGGTATGTTGTGCGCAGTTTGAATTATCGTGTAGCGGGGAAGCGATGAAGCAAATCGTCAAACATGCGGCGTAATATACCAAAACAAAAACATAAATAATTAAAGTCGCGTTTCGTGAATGAGATTAGCGCCGCAACGTACTTTGAAATATGACGTCATTGCACAGTATGACGTCATTGCAAATATGTGGCTATAGATTAGAAATTGTGGGAAAAACGAAAATATGTGTATATGTGTAATTTTGATTGCTTCAAGACCCTGATTTCCTCCTCGCTTGGAGGCTGACCAAATTAAACCCCGCGTTATAGACACTGACTGCGCACTGATCCTCTGAAAGGCTACAGACCGAACACTTGCATATTGATATACAATGACATATTTTAACACGGAAATATATATGACCCTATTACTTAATGAATGCACTCACGAAAGTCCACTATGTATCACAGTTGAATTTCTTGAACGATTCCAGGAAACAGTGAAGCCTCAATTAACTACCACCAACAACCGTCAGAAACAAGAAAACAGCGTTATCACTTTCAGCGCCATGGGGCACATTAGAATTTTGTTTGTTTATATGGTAGCAAATACAAACCATAAAAAGTGTCCTATATAGCCTTAAGATGAGATAGGCTCTGAATTGTCATTAAAAAATGATTAAATTGAAATTAAAGGCCCTTTCTTTGGTAAAAATAATTTATGACACCAATTCTCGAACTCAGTCTTGATAAGTATCTACCTTCAGTAGTTTCAGAGAAAACGTTTCCCCATTGCAGACACAATGCACTTTCTAAAATAAGATGGATAAAGGCCCGTAACTGTGAATGCTTAAAATCTAAAAACAAGCAGCAAAGGAAGCAACTCTGGACAAAATAAATTACGGGACCAAATTTCGAAAACAGTCGCGACAAGTACCTCAAAGATAAGCACGCAAAATTTCATTCAAGTACGTTCAGTAGTTGGAGAGAAAACTTCACGGTGAATGCACAAAGTTGAAAAGCACTAGCATGGGCAATAACTATGTCAATAATAATTTTAAGACACCAATTTTGGGACTCATGTACGATCGTGACCAGTAATATCAGGGTGTAAAATTCCATTTCTCAAACTCGAATACTGTTTGAGAAACCTAATATAATGTTTTCCCCTTTGAGAAGATGTTAGACGGACGGTTGGATGAATTTTGTTCCTATATCCACCGCCCTACTTCTTGGAGGGGGATAATAAACTTACAATTGCCATATAACAAAGAATACTCACAAGCGCAATGATCAAATATATAAAGTGTGTGGTGTTCACTCGTAACCGTTGGTTTTTCTTCATGGTGGAAGAAGCAACTCTGTAAATAAAAGTGAACAGCAGCACAGTTCACCATCCTCGAGCACAGCTCCACGCAAGCTTCCTCACTTGCCCTTTTGATTTGGTATCCCCCCATCATTCCTGTATTATAGAGCTTTCTTTGGCGAACACCTGTTTATAAGAATAGAATATTGTACATGAATGTTTGTGAGCTCCCAAAGTCCTAAATTGTCCATTAAAAAAACAAGTTGGTTGGTTGGTTTGTTGTTTAACGCCGCGCTCAGGAATATTCCAGCTATATGACGGCGGTCTGTAAATAATCTGGACCAGACAATTAATTGATTAATGTCATGAGCATCGATCCACGCAATTGGGATCGATGGCATACATCAACCAAGTCAGCGAGCCTGACAACCCGATCCCGTCAGTCGCCTTTTACGACAAGCATAGTCACCTTTTACGGCAAGCATGGGTAGCTGAAGACCTATTCTACCCCGGAATCTTCACGGGAATGAAAACAAGTAGACATTTGACTCCGTCACAGTCTCTGTGACATAACATCATCTACCGTTGAAATATAACAGCAATGGAAGGTTTCATTAATGCGATAAACATCCGATACATAAACAGATCATGTGCTATGACAGGAACTACTTTATATATATAATCAAGTCTGGACCAGGCAATTTGCAAACCAGCATGGTCAACGATTTTCTCACGCAGCTGATACAGGAAGCGCAATCAATGCATACCAATAAATGTTGTTTTTTATTTGTTTTTTTGTTGTTTAACGCCCCGCTCAGCAATATATCCAGCTGTAAATAATCGAGTCTGGATCAGACAATCCAATGATTGATATCATGAGCATCGATCCACGCAATTGGGATTCCTACCCCGGATCTTCACAGTGTATGAGTGAATGCCACAATCAACAATACTGTACCTAAACGTGTTTGTTTCCTGAATTTTAGCGACATTCAGCCATATTCAAGCTATATGACGGTGAACTTTAAGTAATCGATTCTGGACCAGATAAGTCAGTGACTGACATTAGTGAGTGAGTGATTGAGTTGGGTTTAACGCCGCTTTTAACAGTATTCCAGTTATATCACGGCGTGTCAGCTTAATGTGGGAGGAAAGCCCGAAGTGATACAGGTCTCAGACGTTTACCACTTCGGTGAAACCCACGAGCACGGGTATGGTGCTGACAAACCTAGAAACATAATCAGGGCGAACCGGGATTCGAACCCACAATCATAGGTTTCTGGCGTGCCAAAGGGACGCAACTCTGCACAGCGAATCTCGGCGCCTTAGATGACTGGGCCACCCGTGCCCCCGTGACTGACATTATGAGCATCTATCAACGCAATTGGGATACGAAGACATGCAATCAGCAAAGGCATCCAGTCTGACGATCCGATCCATTTGGTCTTCACAAGCATACGTGTAGGTTGTTGGCGACGTATTTGCCTACCCGGGTCTGTGTATCTGTAGTCGGCTTTCCTAAGATGTATTTAATCAAAGTGACTGAAGCATGTGAATGAGTGAGTGAGCGAGTGAGTATGGTTTTACGCCGCGTTTAGCAATATTCGTGCAATATCACGGCAGAGGACACCCGAAATTGGCTTCACACATATTACCCATTGGGAATTGACCCCCAGTGGTCGCTTTAACCACAAGGCTGCCCAACCGCCTCTGAAGTAAGTAAGAATATGCTGCCATTATAACTAATTACAATCTTTCCTTGCAAACGTATGATTCTTTTTTACTTTTTGCCTCCAATATACAGTTCTCCATCTTGTGAAGTTGAAGGTTAGATGTGGTTCCCCTCATATTAACGGCATCATTCCTGTGATGATACCAACACTCATTCGACCAGAAATCCCAGTCCGCTTTAACGATGTCTTTTCTATAGGACACGGCCCGGATGCAGTCTTGTAGGTTTTTGGTCGCCCTGTATCCGTTCCCTGAATTTACCCCAGCCCTGAATATTGAACATCGACCTGGAGACAGGAATCATACACTCAAATCAAACTCAAGTAAATTTCGATAGATGGCATTGCTTCTTATGAAATAAAAAGAGAAACAATGTGTGATAACATCTAAAATACATACAAAAAGGTGTTCGTCGTGTTAAGAAATACTAACACTTTCATATCTACAAGCAGATCCACAGCCTAATCCTTTGAAAAATAGTCATTCATTACAGCCTTAGATATAGACTCAAAAAGTCCCTTTCTATAATCATTAGAAATCCATTTACGATTCCATACATATACATCACAAAACCCTTTCCATAATAATTAGAATTCTCTGCTAACTGTAGAGTCAATTGCGTGGTTCCGCCTTTTCCATGGGCATGTGTTTATTCTCTTGCCTTAAGGTTTATATTTATGAATCACCATCAGATATGATGATAATTTATAAGTGTGATGTTCTTCTGCCCCACCGATGACACCAGTTACAAACACATGCAAAGGCAAGTCAATTGTTCACCTAACAAATAAACGGGACCACATGGTGCAATTCAAAAAAGGGAATTGCAACGGACACAAATTTTGTCACTGATATGGAAATTTGCCCTGAATGTATATTACCATGATGCTTTTTCACATCTTCGTAGAAAGATAACGGCCTTCGTAGACACAGCCTACGAATTTCAACCAAGCCCAATTACAGCTATTATTTCCGTCTGTGTTGCAATCTATATAATCATGTTCATGTACCCACCTTTTCGTGGAGTTCTTGGTTTCTTTAATTGCATATCTCCCTCTTTGAGACGTTCCCCTGACCGTTTTGGATCGTCAAGGTGCAGCTTGCATGTTGAGATTCTCTCCAGCCATGTATATGCAAGACATTCTTGGGTTAACACACACATAGTACTACATTCCTTTCCATCAGACAACCCCTTCACCTCTTCTCCCCCTTCAAACAGATTGCCACCGGCATCTTCTAGGCAGACTCGATCTGAATAGTAATTGCAATATCTATACACCAGCTGGATAAAATCCTGTGCACGATAGAGTGAGTGAGTGAGTCACATCGGCAATATGTCGGCAATATCCTGACGAGAACATTAATAATACTTAAATATAGACGAGTAAAAACCTGTCATCGACGGACATTTCGATAACTAGATTATCACAGTTTAAAATTAAAACTAGTTGAGAACAATTAAAAGAATAACCTATGATTCAACAATACATTATAATTTTTTTAGATGTGCACGATAGAAATCACATGGAAATATAATTGATTGAATCAAGCATGATATTCACATATATCCATGACGACTGTGCATATGGGTCATTGCTTGCAAAACACCCATGAGTAAGAAATGTGTCACGCATTCACAGTACACATGGGGTGTAAATCGTTGAATTATTGTACTGTGAAAACAACTTTGCCACCGCCTTAGCGCGTAAACACCTATTGGAATTGGAATACGTGAAACGTTGTTACTTGGAGAGGTGAGGTGAAATTGGGTTTAACGTCGCGTCCAAGATTATTGCAGTCATAAAGCGACGTGCATGTACGTGCGTGTGTGTGTGTGTGTGGCTGCTTGTACTAGTCCGGACTAATGCCGATTTATAGTTCTAGCCCACTGAGATACCATGCCGCGGTTTAACATGAATACCCCACTCAGACACAGTATAGTGAATCCGAGCCGACCAGTCCTTGTTTAAGCCCCTTAATGCCGAGCGCCAGACAGGGTAACAACAAGTACCATTTTTTAACGTCTTTTGGTATGACGCGGCCGGGGATCGAACCCCGGACCTTCCGCTCTCCGGGCGGACGCTCTACCACAAGACCACGGAGGCGGCCATGTGTGATGTGAAATGAAACGTAGTTTGCGACAACTTCCATACCAACCACGGACTTTGGTGCAGAATCAACAGGCATCAGGTGAAGTATTTTCACTGGGGACAAGTGAAAACAATGTATCGGTAAGATAGAAATATAGGGTTTCAGTATAGTATGGTCCAGGAGCTAACAAGGCGATACAGATCAGATTGTTAACTGGGGAGGAAGAAGACAAAGCTGGTGTCACCATGGTTCCATAAAACAATGTGAAGCGTGAGTGAGTGGGTGAATGTAGTTGGGCGCCTATTTGATGTGGGGTCGACAGACATTTAGATGCTGCATCTGTTTCCGAATGTTATGACACCAATATAACATTTCTTACCAAACCTTGCAAGGAAACGTTGTTTGTGGGGCGTTACATCTCCCGAACAGTATGCAGCCTTTTTAAAAGCCAAACAGAGGACGTTAATTGCTGGTAAATATAGCTCAATGATTACCATCAAATACGTGAACGTTTCTGGCCGATTTTTTTGGATATTTATTACCTACCCAGGTGTAGAGTAAGATATTTAGTACCAGAGTTTCACACATCAGGAATCTTGCACGCTGATTCTTTGCTGTCACATGATCACTTGGAAACATTTGGAAATATGTGTATGAACGAGGAACAAAATGTCTTCATCTATCCCTAAGATTACCTGTCATGGACGTGCACATTACTTTGTTCATTGTAATGCAGTCGCCGCCTTTACCATAACTTGCAACCCATCGATGTCTTCCCATGTAACAAGTGCGTGTACGTCGATTCCACTCAATAAAGTAGCAGTCCCCGTCAGTTTGCGCAAGACACATATCGATGCATTGCACGATGGGCGTTTCGGCTTGTGACACCTTGTCCGAGCATGTTTCGGAAGACGCCAAGAACTTCATACATTGGCAGGCTGAACAAACAACGTGTGATTATTTACATATATCTTCTACTTGCTTAGCGCCGCACTCGGCAATATTCCTCCTATATGATGGCGGTCTGTACATAATCGAGTGTTGACCAGGCAATGCAATGAATGACTTCACGAGCATCGATCTGTCAACATACATCAATCAAGTCCGTAATCCGTTATGAAAGTTATCCAAAAAGTCAACCTTAACTTGTATGTTTTCCTTTTTGTATTTCACTTGTATCCACACCAGAGCCTAAGGTCTAACTGTAACTGAGTTAAATAATGGCATGGTAAAAAGAAAAAGAGAATGGGAAGGGCTAAAAAAACGTTTCTCTTATTATTATGGAAAAGGTGTGACCGCTTTTGTTTAGTCCCAACCATCACACATTATCATGCCCGTGTAAGAAAATATACACACCTGTCCTTCCATATTCCACGAAGTCATTGAAAGTAATAAAGTAACAGAACACCTACCCTTCCATATTCCACGAAG